TATTTGGATAAGCTGTTCTTAATTTATTTTGTTTAAAATTGCTGATTAACTGAACAAATGTTAATCAATTTGCCCAGGCGCTCTGCAAATGAAAACTTTCAGTTAGAAAAATCGGTCCAATTATTTGGTTGTCCGCTGATTTTGGTTAGCTAATAAATACAAGAAATACTTCTGAAAAAACTGGTATTTTTTGCCTTGATCTGGCCGCCAAATAGATGGAAGTGAGAAGGAACAAGTCTTTGTTCGATTTAAAATACCAAAGCTGCCTTCGGCGGTTACTAGTTTTAAAAAAGTGGACTGAACCTAAAACTGAATTGGCAGTACAGCGTAAAAAAGTGTCAGTGGGGCGTTTAAAGTTACTTTATTCTAAAAAAAGTGCCCGATCACAGAGAATAGTTATCTCGGGAAATAAATCACGATACTCAGTTAATAGCAAATGTTTCAGTAGTTGCTGTAAAAGTGAGTGGAGACAAAGATCTGTTGAAAGAGACGAAACGAAGTCCGACGCGTGCATCAAAAATCAAAAAAGGATTATTTGCTACCAAAGAACCGATCCAGTACAGTTCTCAAGAAGCTGAAATTGAACTGAGGTGGTTTTTACTTGATGAAAATCCATTTAACTAAATAAATAAGAACTAAAAGTTCAGATTTTCATCGTTTTGATAAAGACACAGTGTTGTCGAAACAATTGTCATGTGAATATATATCATTTCGTGAAAATCTGAACTTTTAGTTCTTACTTGATTTGTCAAGAAGCGTTTGCTATTATACTTGACCACATTCACGAAACTTCAATACCTGGCGATCTGACTGGGTGCACAGGCCCGAAATTGGGACATATATCTATCTATATTTTGGAGGCAAAAAAAGACTGTCGACCATCGAAATAATTGTTACTGAGGCAATGGCCGAAATCTCGCTGCAAGATGTTCTTAACCACACCACACAAAGAATTTTACTTATGCAAGAATAGGTTTTTCTCATCGTTTCTAGAAGCCAGATATCAGCTACGTTAGTTGTGAGTTATGGTTTCGATGGAAGTTCAGGGCAGGCGCAATACAAACAAAAAATGTCTTCAGGATAGACACAAAATGCAAGTATTTTCGCTACCACCATGATTCCCTTGAGGCTAACTAGGTCAGATGGCATTATCCTCTGGAATAATGCAATGCCACAATCTCTGAGGTTTTGCAGGCCGTTGAAACTGGAATATATCAAAGAAACTAGGGATCATGTTATGAAACAGAAAGAAAGTCTAGATAATGAAATTAAAGATCTTCAAGAATACCAAATCTGGATCAACAATGTTCATGTTATGATACATTTTGATTTACACTTGACTTTGAATGATGGAAAAATCACCTGCAAAATTTTTAACTACTAATAATTTTAAAGACTTTGCAACAAAAGAAAATGCACTTCATTATGGTGTAAGCCTCCTGAATTGCTGGATAAAATGTTTTGAGTGCATCGTGCACATTTCTTACAGAATTGAATTAAAAATCTCGCAAGTGAGGGGTTCAGAAAATAAGGCAGAAAAAGCAGCAGAATTAATAACTTGACAGACAAATTTAATCGAGCAATGGATATCTCAGACCCCGTCATATCTTCGTTGTCTCTTAAAACGGGAAAGTCAAAGTTGAAAATTAAGCAGCTGCCGCCTCAAGTTCAAAATTTATTGAATCCCTATAGACAATTTTTGGATTCCTTAGAATTGGATAACTTAGAGTTGAACAGAACATTTGTGAAGTAGATAAAATTTTTAATATAAGTGTATGTAGTTTTTCTTTCAAAGTTATTGTTATTGTTATTATTATTATTATTACACAATAAAATTCTGCTTCTTAACAGAGGTTTATTCAGAGGAGCATGTGCACCATATGTTGATGCCCCTATATAAAATATCCTTGGAGTAACAGTAACAAACAAAACACTTTTCTGAAGATGATTCACAAAAAAAAATGTTAATAAATAATTTTGGCCAAAATAAGTGTGCTGTAGACTACTGTGTCCCGTGAAGGTTGCTTCATAAGTAAAAATATTTTTTCCCAAAAAATCGTCACATTGGCACATTTGCATTTTATTCCCTTCAGATAACCTTGAACTGGAATAATTTGTAGGAGTGATATTTATATTATTTTAAAGTGTACTGAATCATGTAATACGACATTCCCAATTGTGCGGCAACAAATGAGATTGAGATTTTCTAAAAAGTTATACGAAATTAATTGTATTTTTAATGATTAATCATAAGAGTATAGCTGCTTTCAAACAGTTCTCCTTTTTCGACTGAGACTCTTGGTTTCATTAAATTGGCAAATAATGCGTTTGATTGTATCAGCTGACGGAGTCCTTCGTCCATCATTAACCTGACGATATTGTCGTTGAGCTGCGGCTATTGTATTTTTATTGGAATAAAAAATACGAACTACTTGAAGCTTTTCTTCTTCTGAAAAGACTATTTTATCAGATATGTCACAACGTCTGGTCAACTCGATCAACATCTGTTTAGTCAATCGAAAATTTAAACTTAATAATTCAAGAACGGCGTATCCAAATCTCAACAATCTGTAGATTTTTGAAATTAGGAGAAAAAGATCTTTTGTTACAACAGAAAATATATAGCGCCTTCCATTTAAAAATAAAAAACTTTCTGTTGCTTCTCAACTTTGCGATGCGCATTTGTTTTTTTTTTACTGCAAAAATTATACAACTTTCGTATTAAAAGTTTTTCTCGACGACTTCCGTTAACCCTTGTTGGTGGATACGCAAATATAAAAAATAACCCTGCACAAGGTGTTTATTTTAAACTAAAATTGACCAACAAAGTAACCAAAACACAACTTTAGCTTGTATTTTTAAAATTATACGTTTTACAAAAAATCTCAGTACGATACGATACGTTCGGTTTTCATCATCTCATGCCGCTACAGGGTGTTTCTAATTGATTGTCAATAATTAAGAGGGGTCCATTTGAAAAAGAAAACATCATATGGACATATGTGTCCTAAACGTTTTAACTTTTGAGATACAGGGTGGTGAAATTTTCAAAAATAAAATATATATATATATTTTTAAATTTGTAACACCACTTTTTTAATGAAATTTGGCACACATGTACTATGTAACAAGAGGTACTATTTAGTGTACCACAATTTTTTTTTAATGCACCAGTGGCGGGCCTACGGAATTACACCCGTTTATTTTGGCAGACATTAATTAATTAATAATAAATATTATTCTTACAATCTCCAATCATTTTTAAAGAAATTTAATTTGTTGAATTTTTTTAATCCGATATACGGTTTTCGCTTAAAAAAATAAAAACCTTTTCTCTGCACGGTCTCAAAAATATCGTTAATATGACAGCATGCAGAGAACTTAGTTTTTATTTTTAAGTGAAAAGTGTGGGACTGACTAAAAAAAATTAAGAGATCAAACCCGCTCCTTAATGAATGGAAATGTCATTTTTTCTTGTACCACAATTTTTTTGAAAGTAATTGTCTATCGGTTTTATTAAGATATTTTAAAAAATCGTATAAATGTACGTAAACTCTGAGGTGTATTTTTGAATTCTTATTATTATCTTATTTCTAATCATTGTATTAGGCTGTGATAAAAGGAGCCCATCGGACTGTAAGAACTCCGGAAATTGAAGAAGCAGTTTTAAATTTTATTGATGAAAATTCTGAACGTAGTACTAGGAAAATTGGAAATAATTAATATCTCGTACTTCTTGCTTCCTATTTCCTATTGTAGTCATAGCATATTTAACGAGTCCTGGCGTTACTTTCCATAGATTAACTCTTGTTTGAACAAGAAATTCTATTTAGAGATGAAGCCAACTTTTTCAAAAATGCAATAAGAAATGTCCAAAATAACCATATTTGGGCCGATGAAAACCGCAATTGAATTGTAGAATTTAAACGTCACGAATGTTTGGGCTGGAATTGTTGGAAATTATCTAACGGAACCCATTTTCATGCCAGAAAGGCTAAATGGCCATAATTATCCCTGGTTTTTAGAAGAGGATTTGCCAATAATGCTAGAAGAAGGATCATATTTAATTAGGAACAGAGAGTAAAGTGTTGCAGTAAGAGAATATTTAAATCACACATTTAATAACCGATGAGTAGGTCGGGGCGGACCTCCAAAATAGCCCCTTAGGTCCACAGATTTAAATATTTTGGGCATTTTTTATTTATTTATCTGGTTTGTTGCACCCCAGTTAACACTGTAGAGGAGCTGAAGGTTCTTATAAGAGCTTTCTGCGATTTAATAAGAAACACTGGAGGTATACTTCAAAGAGTCGGTGTCAATTTGAGGAAAAGAGCTGAAGGATGTTGTTTTGGATATTTTATTTTTCACAAAAAAAGTTCCCAATTTAACCAGTGCACTGGCGACCTAATTAACTAAAATATTAATTGTCCATAAACAGTCAGTGGCACGCCACTGATTTCCTGAAAACAATAATGACATTTGCATTCATTAAGGAGCAGGTTTGATCTCTTAATTTTTTTTAGTCAGTCCCACGCTTTTCACTTAAAAATAAAAACTAAGTTCTCTGCATGCTGTCATATTAACACTAAATAGTACATAGTATAGTATATAGTATATGTGTGCCAAATTTGATTAAAAAATCAAAAGTGGTATTACAGATATTAACAAAATTTCAAAGGTTTTACGGCATATGTTTATATGAGGTTTTCTTCTTAAAACGGACCCAAAAATCGTCTCTTTAATTATTCACATTCATTTACCACCTTGTATATAATAACCAAATTTTCTGTGTTACTTTGTATCACAAAAACAATGCCAGCTAGGAATGTTTCGAAATTGAATCGCAGTAATGCGATAACCGCATCGCTCTAATAATAAACTCTTTAGTATCCAACAACATCAATGAAAAATGTTTTCAAACACAAAGCTTTTAGGATTTATATAGTCAAAGTGGGTGGAGCATATTTTGATTAAAAATGAAGGCAACTTTTTCCTTACAGATAAACGGTTCCTTCGGAATGCCCCACTTAAATCGTTGGCCTAGAGATGCCGTTTCAAATAGAACGAAGACTCGAATACTGTCACACCCTCCTCGTACCGGTAGGTAATTGTCTCCAAGGGAGGTTTTGACGCTCACTTCACTTCACTTTCTTCACTTTTTTAGAGCTTTATGGCAGCGAACAGGACATCATTTTATTTCCTGACTCGCTAGAGGCCATGCAGCTGCTCCAGCGAGTGGACGGACCCCCCAAGTGCGCCAATGGGCTCACCTTTTGCGAGTCCATCGACGAATACCCCGAAAACCGTCTGAAGGAAATTTTGGTTCAAGATCAAGTTCCGAAAATTTTGTTCGGTGAGGACCAGGTAAGATTCATGACTCTCTTAGATTTTGTTGTTGTTTTTTTCCTCAAAAATCCTCCTTGGTGGTCCTGTTCCACCCTTATAGTAGTGTTTGTGTCAATGACTGTAGGTTTGAGTTAGTTTTAGTAAAATTTTATCGATATAGACTCTTTAGATGTACTGTTCTACCCAACTAGCGTTTTATATTGGCAATTGAAGATTTCTTTGCAATATTGCTGTACCATCTATTTTTTGTTGTTTTTGTTTTTTTTCTCCAAAGATCTATTGTTCAATCGAGAGAGTCAGGTTTTAGATTGATATCTGCAAGTTGGTTGCAGTTTTTGTCACAAAAACCTCTAATTTTTTATTTCTTTCTTTCCTTTTTCTTACATTTATCCCCCTTTGATTAGTTTAAAATTGTCAAATTGTGTATTAAGGGACTTATTTATATTTGTTCGTATTTTTCATGTTAAATTCTGAATATTCTATTAAATTGTATTGTGGGATATTCATTTTAACTGGAACCCAAACTGTCCAAAATTAACTGAAGATTTTTCTACAGGCACCAAATGATATCGTCAATAGAATAGGCGACGACGAAGACACTTTCGTCTGTCGTTCCATTAAAGGGTTGATCTTCCCCAAAATGGGTCTCAACAAGGACAACCTTTGGAAGTTGATAATTAACTTAGACGGAGATGACGGATTTGTCCAAGGAGTTACCATTGAAACTTGCTATCGGTAAGTTGCTATTATCGGTATTAATAATAGCATGGGTCTGGATCCTTTCAAGAACAAACTTAAACAAATTCAACGACGAGTTTTGTTAATTATTTGCTACTTTAGAGCTTCAGAATAGGAAAAAAATTCAACCGAACTACCTGTATGCGACCCGTATATCACCGAACTAAAATGAACTGGGAATGAATGAGGTTTTGCAATAAATGGGTACAAATTATTGTGAGCCAACGTGAATCCAAATTGAGAATGATGTTGCTTCGTAGTGCTATATTCGAAACTATTCCACCTCTTTTCTCGAAACAGTTTAACACGTTATTAATTATTAAGCAGGATGTCACCATTCTTCAATATGTTTAAGCAATTGTTTACATATTGATTGCTATTATAAATTTGAAGGCTTAGTTGTCTGCTAAATACATTTTCTAGCAATGCATAGATTTTTTTAAGGAAACTTCCACAGGCTCCTGTAATACTATTGCCAAATATTCTGGTTTCTTCTTGCATCGGTTGTTTATAAATGAAACTTGCTGACGTTGGCTTCTTCTGAACTAAGCCAATAGAATGCGTTAGTTATTAATAATTATTATATTATATGTCATTATTAACACACACAACAATAGTTCCTTTCAAATTTTGAAATTTAAAGAATGAAATAAAATCCCAAATGTTGAAATTGTCACTTACAGGGTTTTTCAGTTAGGCCATCGACCATTGGAAGCACTGTCTAGACACACCATACACTAAATATACTCTTAATTGTCCCATGATGCCGTCAACAAACAGATTATTGTTTGCTCTTTTTTGTAGACATCCCATCTTCTCATACTGTCACTGGTCCCATTAGCAGATAGCTGTTTGTCTTTTTTGTGGGTCAATAGTATATTATTCATATCACTTCATACACACGCAGTCTCATACTGTAACTGGTTCCATCAGCTGGTCAGATTGATATTTGTTGTTGTAGGACAATACTATATGATTCGTTTTGATATTCCTGTTTGCAATATTAGATTTCATTTTTGCAGTCCTGACGAGGAGTGCGACGTTTTGGACAACAGTCCTGTCGGGATCGTAACTTTTTGCCGCCAGAAATACATATATCGGAAACTGATGTCGGTTAACGAGAAAGGCAAGGTGGTCCCGGATTCTTTCCGGCTGCCGTCAGCATGCTGCTGCGCTTATAAGCAGGACCAAAATTTTTTGAGCAGGTTTGGTAAGGGTTTCACACCATCGAGGAAGCTCAGCCGAAAATAGGACGAAACTCTCTCTATAGCGTCTAGATCTAGCCCTGATGGATTTTCGCCGCTTGCACAAAGAAAAGTAAGTTTTCAGTATGATATTGTAAAGGTTGTCAAAGCTTCTTCGCTAAAATTAAGACGTTTCGTTCTTCAGAATGCCCTACAAAAGTCTGGGGCCAGAGTAGAACGAAAGGTTCAATCTTTCCCCTACCTCATGCCCGCAGGTAATTGTTGCTTGGAAACTTTCGATGTTCTTCTACAGGTTTCAATTTTTGTAGAGTTTTAGGGGAGCGAACAGGACACCATGTAGACTCCCAGAGGTGGTGGAATTACTTCAGCGTGTAGAAGCTGAAGGAAGTTTTGATTAAACTTTATGCAGTGTGAACGAGGTAAGGTAATAAAAAGGCCAATACTATTTTGTGCTAGAAAGCAAACATTTAGATTGAAAACATATCATTAAACCAAAGATAATTAAAACATTTTTGCAGGCACCAAATGATGCCGCCTGCCAATCAATCGAAGGACCGAAATTTCCCAGAATGGACCTAAACAACGACAATCTTTGGAAATTAATAATTAACTTTTAACAAAAAAAAAAACTTGTCTCTACAACGATAACTTATTATACCTTCATTGTTTTTCGAATAATGTCTACCGTTTAGATCTTAAACGTGAGAATCATTTCTGCTCATAGTACGGCAGTCAGTCACTTTTCTATTTTTATTTCGCTTCAGACAGGTATAGGTGGTTTTTTCGAAACTGAAATTGAAAGAGACTTCAAGCGGGAAAAATTTACCAAGTCGCTGTAAACGCAAAGAAAGGACGCTCTTAGATCGGCATTACACACAAAATTTATAGAAACCATAATAAGAAAAGAATGTACAGGGTTATTCATTATATTTTGACACCCACCTACAGGGTTAATTTTGAAAGATAGAAAAAAAAAATGTAAATACATAAGTTTGAAGATTTTTTCCCTATTATCTTATGCAAATGTCAGAAAAAAACAACGACGATCGCAAACTGTCCAAAAAATTGAATTCCCCATATAATTTTTATTAGATCTTTTTTTCCTGATTTCAAAAACATGACATTTCATTTAGCCGTTTTTGGGATATTTCAGTTTAAAAATAATTATCATTCGATTTCTGGACAATAGCCATATTGCATAAGTCTACGTTGATAGCAACCATATTATCTATGTTTGCAATTGTTTTAACAAAGTTCCACTTTTGACAACTAATCAAAACTGAAAATCTGCAGCGTAACTTTAAGATATTAATTAAGTAATTATTAAATAACGCGCGTGTTATAGTCCTATTGAATACTGTGCTTTTATCATTTAGCGATTCATTCTTTTAAGATGGGTCCTTCTACTAGAAGTGGTAGCAAAACCGAAGAAGACATTGATCCGTAAGGTGTGTTCTAGCTTTATATCCCAATTTGTGTCTATTTTTTTCTTTCTTTCTTTCCTTTTTCTTACATTTATCCCCCTTTGATTAGTTTAAAATTGTCAAATTGTGTATTAAGGGACTTATTTATATTTGTTAGTATTTTTCATGTTAAATTCTGAATATTCTACTAAATTGTATTGTGGGATATTCTTATTGTTGTATTTTAATAAATATCCGCTTTGCACACGTTAACTATTATTGACATTGGAATGTTTTGTAGAAAACGAGTTTTAAAATTCAAGATAACAATTACGCTCCCTGGTGGGCATTTTAATAACTCCTTCAACTCATTGTGGTATATTCTTTTTGTTGTATTTTAATAAAGGCTATTCATTATTATTATTACTATTATTATTGTTATTATCAATTCCAACGACTTTAATTTTCCTGCTTATTGCAATGTAAAGTTCGGGGATGTAGATAAGTTTCATTAATATGTGGTTTTGTGAAATTCCTCTTTTTAAAAATATATAAGCTGTATAAAAATGAATTATAGGCAGAAAGATTTTTGTCATCTAAAAATGTTATTATCAAATGTTAATATTGCTGTTTAAGGAGTGAAAACTTAACAACAATGTCGCCGTACCTGCCGTAACAGAACAATTCTGGAAAGGCAAACGACCTTGAACGACCCCTGTTTTTTTTGATCCATTGACTGCCAGGAAATGTCACCTGTCTCCGCTTTGAAATAGTAGACACACTTTAACAATGATTAACATTAGAAATTATTGTAGAACACGACTTTAAAAATTCAAGATAGCAATTACGCCCCTGGGGGGCATTTTAATAACTCGTTAAACTCATTGTGGTATATTATTTTTGTTGTATTTTAATAAAGGCTATTTATTATTATTATTATTGTTATTATCAATTCCAACGACTTTAACTTTCCTGCTTATTGCAATGTAAAGTTCGGGGATGTAGATAAGTTTCATTAATATGTGGTTTTGTGAAATTCCTCTTTTTAAAAATATATAAGCTATATAAAAAGGAATCACAGGCAGAAAGATTTTTGTCATCTAAAAATGTTATTATCAAATGTTAATATTGCTGTTCAAGGAGTGAAAACTTAACAACAATGTCGCCGTACCTGCCGTGACAAAACAATTCTGGAAAGGCAAACGACCTTGAACGACCCCTGTTCTATTTTGATCCATAGACTGCCAGGAAATGTCACCTGTCTCCGCTTTGAAATAGTAGACACACTTTAACAATGATTAACATTAGAAATTATTGTAGAACACGACTTTAAAAATTCAAGATAGCAATTACGCCCCCTGGTGGGCATTTTAATAACTCGTTAAACTCATTGTGGTATTTTAATAAAGGCTATTTATTATTATTATTATTGTTATTATCAATTCCAACGACTTTACTTTTCCTGCTTATTGCAATGTAAAGTTTGGGGATGTAGATAAGTTTCATTAATATGTGGTTTCGCGAAATTCCTCTTTTTAAAAATATGTAAGCTGTATAAAAATGAATTATAGGCAGAAAGATTTTTGTCATCTAAAAATGTTATTATCAAATGTTAATATTGCTGTTTAAGGAGTGAAAACTTAACAACAATGTCGCCGTACCTGCCGTAACAGAACCATTCTGGAAAGGCAAACGACCTTGAACTACCCCTGTTTTTTTGATCCATTGACTGCCAGGAAATGTCACCTGTCTCCGCTTTGAAATAGTAGACACACTTTAACAATGATTAACATTAGAAATTATTGTAGAACACGACTTTAAATATTCAAGATAGCAATTACGCCCCCTGGTGGGCATTTTAATACATCGTTAAACTCATTGTGGTATTTTAATAAAGGCTATTTATTATTATTATTATTGTTATTATCAATTCCAACGACTTTAATTTTCCTGCTTATTGCAATGTAAAGTTTGGGGATGTAGATAAGTTTCATTAATATGTGGTTTTGTGAAATTCCTCTTTTTAAAAATATATAAGCTATATAAAAAGGAATCATAGGCAGAAAGATTTTTGTCATCTAAAAATGTTATTATCAAATGTTAATATTGCTGTTTAAAGAGTGAAAACTTAACAACAATGTCGCCGTACCTGCCGTAACAGATCAATTCTAGAAAGGCAAACGACCCCTGTTCGATTTTGATAAATTATTGGCACATCAAGTATACTGACTAATCTTTTCTACTAATTGTATTTCCATTGCTATTAACTTTAGTAGCGTATACTGTTCAAATGTTGTGTTTTTTTGAGTTACTAATAAAAATTATCTGTCTATAATGCGAGCTTTTCTCTTAAGAATGATTTTGTTTCCTAAGTGAGGTTATACAAATTGATTTTTTTTTAGATTGCCAGAAAATGCCACCTGTCTCCTCTTTGAAATAGTAGATACACTTTAACATTAGAAATTTTTGTAGAACACGACTTTAAAATTTCAAGATAGCCCTTGGTGGGCATTTTAATAACTCGAAACTAGTTATTAGCATTTTCTCTAGGCCGGTTTAGTTAATTTTTGTTTTCATTTCCGTTTCCTTAATATGGTACTTCCCTTACTGAAAGATCCGCTACATTAACCTCTTCCAAATTTCCAATTGTCTCCGGGAACACTCGCACTGATAAATAAATAGGACGCAACGAACGAGGCCAAGAAACCTTAAAACCCTATAAAGCGTCAGAATGGCAAACAACAATTTTTAAAAGAAAGAAGAGCAATTGAAAAGCACTATTTCTTTTGGTAACTCAAAAACGTATTACGTAAACTGTACTACCATTGTACAATTTCAATAAATCAAAGATCTGCAAAACGAATTTTTATAAATTTTTGTATATAAGAAATAATGTTCTCTAAATGAATATCTGCAATGTAAATATGAGGTGGGTACAAAAGTAATTCTTTATTCCCAAATGACGCCAAATGCTTCCAAAATATATTGTATAATGTATAACGAGAAAATTTACTAAAATAAAACAGAAGAATCAAGTTTGATTAAGAATTGATATGTTCTACATTTGATATTTCTACAGTATAGCAGGTCGGGTAGTGTGTTAGACGTTCTTAGTTATATGGAGGTTTTATATTCTCTCGGATTCAAAAATTGGCGGTACTATCGCCTACATTCACTTTGCGCCATTGGAACATTGGTGGTACTAGTTGACAAACTAAAATATACAGTGAACGGCTAAAAGTTCCTTTTTTAAAATGGAACACCATTTTTTCCAGTTCTGTGCCAAAAGTTTCAAGCACCTGTAACTTACTTTTTATGAGCAAAATGAAAGTAGCTACTAGCTCTAATCTGCTCTATTCTACTCTACTCTACTCTACTCTACTAGCTGGTAGAAAGGGATCAATGGAATGACCTGGGAGAGCTCCATATATTATTATTATTATTATTATTATTATTATTATTATTATTATTACAAAGAATAAAGTGCAGAGGAGAACCTATTATGCACATTGATAGTTAGTAACATAATAAATATAATAAATATTTAGTTATTGCTGTGAAACAATACACTGTCCAAGCGACGTTTAAATACAGACAAGTTCGGCGCACACACAACATCTGGGGGTAAACTGTTCTAATAATCGAAAGTCCTGTTACTTATAAAATGCAGGCGATGTGAAGTCCTGAATTGTTCCTTTCTTATTTTAAATGGATGACCACGTAGGCGTTCATCACTGCTTAAGTCAACAAGGGGCACGTCAGATGAAAATTGGTCATGCGCAAACCTATTCATTTGAATGAGATCCCCTCGCAGCCGACGTTGACTTAATGTTGGCAGACTAAGTGGCCAGCGCGTAGCGGCTCGTTGCATTCTTTCCAGAACATCACAGTCACGCAATAGCCATGGGTTCCAGACTGGGGAAGCAAATTCCAGGATGGGGTGAATCTAAGTGGTGAAAAGCCTGCAAGCGATGCGAGGACTAGGATTTTTAAAAGTCTTCTTTAACAAAACTAACGCGCAGTTTGCTTTCTTTGCAATATTGTCGAAGGCTCTGCTGAAGTCAAGGTAAATAATATCCACCGGATCGCCTGAGTCAAGAGATGATGTCCAGTGATTGAAGCATGTCAATATATTTGATATGACAGATCTGCCGGGAACAAAGCCATGCTGCGATGTAGGTATAATATGACAGTCGATCAAAAACGGTAACAGCTAAGGGGTTCAAGAACCTTATATATAATACACACTAGGCTGATAGGGCGGTAATTTGAAACATCGAGCTTATCACGTTTTTTATAAATCGATGTTACATTTGCGGATAACCAATGGGTTCGGAGTGTGACAGAGTCCAAAGATTTTTTCAAAATAATATAAATAGGCTCTGCAAGCACAGGGGCACACGTTTTTAAGATTTTACTGGAAATTCCATCAGGTCCGGGAGCGGAATATTCTTTTATCTCAGAAAGAGTTTTTTTCACGTCCCCTTGGTCAAAGAGAATGTTTTCTAATAAATCTGAATTTATAGGATACTCATAGTGAGACGGTAGATTAGCTGGTTCATCAGTAAAGACATTATCAAATTATGAAGCAAATTCATTTGAAATGAAGTCCTGGTTATAGGAGACCTCTCCCGAGGAAGGGATACCTTAGACGATACGTGTTGTCTGACATAAGTATAAAACGCTTTGGGTCGATTGACGAGGTAATTTTCGAATGCTTTTCATTGCTGTGCAAAGCATAATCGGAAGCAGAGCCAGAGGCCTTAAATCTACGCCGCAGAGCTCTCTTATGTTTTATTTGTTTGAACAGATATCCAGTTAACCAAGGTTTCTCAGAATTGAACTTAACAAAATGAGTTTTGGAGCTTGTGTCTATGTAATAATCCAGAGTAGACAGAAAATATGTCCACGCATCATTAACGGTGTTATCAGGAAAGTTCCATGTATGGTGGGAAAGGTCTGCAGCTAATATTGTATAATTTGTCCTGCTTAACATTTTGCGATTATTGGCCTGCTTGGGATAACATAAGGCTTGAATACAAAACTCAATAACGACGTTATCAGATTTGCCGATTGGGGAATCAAGTTCCAATTTGTCAAGTAAATTGGGATCCGGTGTTATTACAAGATCAAGAGTTGACGGAGCGTCGTTCTCTCGGAAGCGCGTGTGTTCTTCAACAAGTTGACTAAGATTAATTTACTGACAAAAAATCTAGGAACATGTATTCTATGGAAGTGGGAACAAAGTTGTTTAAAGTAACAAGCCAAGATATTCTTGGGAAGTTAAAGTTGCCAGCAATTACAGGGTTGACGGAATTTGTGACAAAATTGTTCAAGTAAGAGCTGAAGATTAGAATCATTATCAGTATCGCTCGGCCTGTATACACAGGCTAGTGAAAAACTAAAATGAGAACTGGTAAATGACAGACAAACAGCGTCCACCATCTGACCCATCATTAAATCCAAGAGCTTGATCCTGTACGTACCGGCAATATGATCAGCAACGTAAACCCAAGCGCCGCCACCCCGCCTGCTAGGTTGATCGGAACGGTAAATTGTATATCCTGAAATAGATATGGTGCAATCGGGAATGGAAGGCTTTAACAAGGAAACGACGCTTACTTTTTTGGAGCCGAGATGTTGACGATTGAAGACACACCTTTAATATATTTGATTGTTAACTGCTTTTCGCCTCTCTCGTGTCTGTCTTTCAGTTCCTTCCGTTTCTGCTCCAAAAAGTCGCGCTGAGAGGGAGTTTGGTTGTCAAATATCTTAACATTTCATAAACGGTCCAGCAAGAAGCTTGTTTTTCTGTTTTAGGATTTTTTTAACCACTTCAGGATTTCCAACTACGAGCTTTAGCGGTCGGATTCTATAGCTATCCCCATCAGGACGAAGGGCTCCCAACCGAAACA